AATGAAACAGTTATTCAAAAGACGGAGTCGCTCTTATGATATGAAACACACCACGTAGTGAGCAGGTAACGGCACTAATTATTGAAATCTCTTCAACTATGATTTACTTAGATGCACTAACTAAGAAAGAGACTGACTCCGAAAAGTAACAGAAATAAGTAGATTTTAAACAATAAACGTATAATATTTGTTAACGTAATACAACCATTAATAATCAATTACTAGTTATGTAAACATTACCATGGCCAGTTTTCACATTGACCGCTTGTTTTTTTTATTTTTTTCATTTTAAAGACAGCAGGCTTGTAAAAGGACACCGAAAAAGTTTAAAACGAAGTATTAAAACAGTATGAGAAAGTTACAGTATTAAATATTTATTCATTAATGTCACATTAAGTGTTCGTTTTTCTGTCGTAATGAAGGCTGGGAGATCTTGATAGATAGGTAGACAAGAAAGCCGTAGGCATCGATGTATGGTTGAAGGCCATAGACAAAGGAAGTAGTTGGTGTGATTTTTTTGTTCAACGTTTGCAGTATTTCGTAGTCGCCAGATTGTGTAAATTACAAACGTGTTTACCATTTATATATATTGTATTTTATAGTTAGACATGATACTTTCTTTACAGTAAGATACTGTATGTAACCGGAACTGCTTGATATCAGATAGATTTTAACTCAAACAATCAGTAGGTAGTGGTTAAAAATTTGTCTTTGGTCGCTCTTGTTGCTAAAACGCTATTCTAGATATGTGTGGGTTTCCCTCTATGTGGTGAGTCATATGCCCTGGAAGGAAATTGCACGTGGCATGTATTTCTATTTTTCTTACTCGCCGTACAGAGTAGGAATGTGAACTCGTTCACGTTGAAGAGAAGTGCGCAGTATCCGATATGCACCATTGTTTACGAGCCATTAGCTGTTTGTTGCCCCACGTTATGACTTGAATTTACGAGATTGTGTTATAAACTTTCCCATTTGCGTATGTAACCCACACAGAACGTAGGTAGAATACTGAAAGTAATAAAAAAAAGTCCTGACTCCACCCAGTTTTTGAAACCAGCCCAACGAAAGTTTAACCTTATTTAGACAAGAGTGACAGGTTCACAGTTAGTCTCTCAAGATCAGTATTTCTTCCAATACTGGCGAAATAAAATAGATTGTTACATGTAGCGGTAACGATAACTGACGTGTACATTTATATAAAAAAAATGTGTAAATGCTTGTTTTTGCTGTACAGTTATAATGAGTGATTACTACACTGAAAAAGAATAGCATGTATGAAAAAGTTTTTAAGAGTGCCTCAGGAAATCAACTGATTTTTTGTCACTTTATAAAGATAAATAAATACCTATGTGTAGAAAAATTTACTTTATGTATTTTTTTTTTTTTACAAAATGTGTATAGTTTGAATAAACAAAATGATACAATGGTAAAGTATAGATGTACCTTAAGTTACTGAATTGTCTGAGAAGGGAGAAATTGAGTAAAATCGTGCAGAAAATAAAAGGAGACACTGGAAAAGTTCTTAAGTATTGAGCAACTTCAGTAAGCTTGCACTCATAACTTTAAAGCTAGATTTAAATGTTATTAAATGGATTTGAGAAAGCATCCATGATGTTTCATGATATTGAGTCTAACATTAATTGCCCCAACCAGTTATTCATCTGTAACTTTAATGACCCCCCCCCCCCCCAAGATATGAAGATGACTAATCTAGCTTTGTATAATACAGTAAAAAAACTGTTGTTTTCATTGCATAAAACCAAACTGGGAGAAAGTGGAAATGTCATTTTTATGGAACTGTATTTGCCAGACCATACCTTACATTCTCCAACCAGTTGTTGTTGGACTGGACTTGATCTATGGTATGGAGGGGCATACAAAATCAATATGTGATTGTACTTTCAAGTAGAGTTGCTTCATGCAGTTACTTCTTGCATTTGACACCTTATTTTTATGGTTAAATAACCTTTTAATTATTTGCTGCTAACCTAAGATCTGCATTTTGATAGTTGATGGGCCATTTCTAATAACACAGATTTAACATCTGAAATTGTAGATCTTGTTGGAATGCTTAGAAATTTGTATCTAAAATTGTTTTCTATCTAAATATGTGTGTTTAGCCTTTTCTGTGTGAAGGTGTATATGTGTTTAGACTATCTAAAGATGTGTGTGTGTGTGCTTACTTTCCATCAAAAGGTATATGTGTATGTTTAAACGTATCTGGCTAAAGATATATATATTTAGACTTTTCTATATTTATTACAATATATGTTTAAACTTTCTGTGTAAAAATGTTTGTGTATGTTTAGACTTGTATGAATATGTGTATGCATATGTTTAGACTTATCTAAAGAGGTACGTGTGTGTGCTTAGACTATCTAAAGGTATACGTGTTTAGATTTTTCTATATATTGGTGAATGTGTAAGCTTTTTATTCAAAGATGCATATGTGTTTAGCCTTTTTACATATATAAATGTGTTTACATATCAGTCCTTGATATAAATATATAAAGCTGTGTTTGTGTGTGTGTACTCTCAAAATATGTATGTGTATATATCAGTCCTTGATATAAATATATAAAGCTGTGTGTGTGTACTTTTAAAGATGTGTTTATATATCAATCCTTGATATAAATATATAAAGCTGTGTGTGTACCTTCTAAAGATGTGTGTGTTTATATATCAATCCTTGATATAAATAAATAAAGCTGTGTTTGTGTGTGTGTGTACTTTCTAAAGATGTGTGTTTATAGATCAGTCCTTGATATAAATATATATAAAGCTGTGTGTATGTGTGTGTACTTTCTAAAGATCTATGTGTTTATATATCAGTCCTCGATATAAATATATAAAGTGTATATCAAAATGATTTTGGTATGGTGACTCAAAACTGAGATTGTTGGCCATAATGTCAAGGTAAAAGCTGGCTGATAATGGAATTTGATAATTGATTATTTTCGCATGAGGCTTGGATAGTTGGAGTAACCCAAAATAGTATTAACTTTCAAATAGTTGATTATTTTCTGTCATTGACATTAAGCTGAACAATCTTGAATTAATCAAAAATAATAATAAAAAATCCTTAAATAGTTGGAATAATCAGAGACACCAATTTTGATTAATCAATTATTTTTACATAATACAAATCAACTTATACGTGTAATCTGTTAATCAATTTAATTGTCCTGATGTAGTCAAGGGTAGGGTGATCAAAGTAGAACATTTGTAGAAAATTTATATTTTTTGATGGAACATCAAGAAATAGTTAGGTTGTGATAACAGGTTTTGTATTTTGCTAGTTTTACGTTTAGTGATTATTTTTAGGTGAACATGTAAATTTTAAAGTGGTGCATGTGTGTCCAGCCTGTCAAAAAATTTCAGACTTAGTATTCAAAAAAGTTACGTTTTTTTCCCCACCTTCCATTATTGAATAAATCACACTAGTCTTGATTAGTAAGAATTCATTCTTAAATTGTAGGCTTAAGTTAAGTATACACTTTTAACATGTTTTTTTGTTGCTCAAGACATCTAAAGCTAAAATTTCCAGTCCAGAAAGATTAGCTTGCTTCATGAAACAGGAAATGCTATATTTGAATCCATGGTTTTTTAGTTCATTATATAACACATGTATTTTATCTTGTCAAATAATTTTATTCGTATACTTGTTTTTTAACCCTAAAAATAAACTAGTAGTGCTATATTCTCAAATAATGATTGTTTTGCCCCTTCTTCTCTTCTATTTACTTCCTAGTCTTCTTCAGCTTAAGTGTAAACAACTGATTATTTTAACACTATTGTCTGTGTTTTAGAGAACTTTCTATAATGCTTCCACGGTAATGTTGTTGAACCACTGGATTATCATTATGAAGTTATAGTAAAAGCTAGTAATGAACCAGTTTCATTGAAATTTAACACTGATAGTCAGTTTTGAACTCAAATGGCTTATTAATTATTAAAGTAGGTCAGGAGCTATTGTGAAATTCATAGGAAAACACAAACTGATTTGGTAATGGAATAGCTAAAACTAAATGTTTTATAAGTTCCCTTGTAAATGTTTTGTCACATCCATTTATTTTATATAGTCATCTAGATTTTTTCTCACTGTTCAGATAACCGTGAGTAATAAAGTTTGTTGAATACTTGGATTATAAATGGTTGAGTAATTGATAATGATAGTTTTTGTATGGTTGGCTTTGATTTTATATCGATTGATTATATAGATTTTAAATTTCAGTACAAATTTTAAACCAGTTCTTTAACTTTGACTTGAAATACTTTGTATGAACGAATAATTAATATATATTATTAGCTGCTTGTATTACAGCTTTAACATTAACAGTGGTCGTGACAAAAATATTCAAAAAATTATTAAAATGTTCATATTTTCATTATAACAATTTTTTTCTGCTTTTAGAATAGAAACTATTGTAGTTAATGTTTAAACAGACATGTGTGCACACACACACACACACACACACACACACACACTATATATATATATATATATATATATATATATATATATGGTGCTTTAAGAAGCCATGTGTTCAGCTGTAAGTGAATTGTTTTAATATATGAATGTGTTTTACATTCAGACCATAATTTAACCCAATCTTATATACTTTTAGTTTTGTTTGTTGTTAAGCATATATCTACATAATGGGTTATCTGTGTCCAATGTTTAGCATAATAAGCCCTCTAATTTACTATTGAGCCATTGGGGGCACATACTTTTAGAATGTTTAATTTCTTTATCAATTTCTAAAAATAAAGTAAACAGTTGAGGTGTTAGTTGTTTACAAATGTGTATGTAAGTACTGCTACACATAAATCCTGTTGAATGAAAATAAACACCTTGATTGTTGTACGTACTCCCTATAAGCATGTTTTAAAGTTGAATACCCAAGTACAAGTAAACTCTCATTTAAGAAATACAAGATAGAAACTAGTGTATTATCCTTGAAGTCTAATAATTTCAGTGTTTTATTACATACTTATAGGCCGTATCCATTCTGCTGTGATTAGTGGAATCAATTTAGCTACAAGAAGTGTAACTGTTGAGTGGTTTGAACATGGAGAGACTAAAGGAAAAGAGGTGAGGTCACAATTGATATAGACATGTAATGTCATGCATTCATTTTTTAAAGGTTATGCGGCCCAACATATATTTGTTTCTGAAGTAATGTTAATGAAAACATAAGTAGATCCGCTCTTTATTTGATTGTTTTATTACATTATTATTTGTTTCAAATGATTTTTTTTTAACTAATTGGTTCAACCATACATGTTACTTAACTTTATAAATTAACATTCAACAAATGCAGTAATTCATTTAATTTAAGGTGACTACAAATGCAGTAATTCATTCAATTAAGGTGACTACAAATGCAGTCATTTTCCAGATTGAGAATATGCTATGGTCAGGGCAAGTCGTTTTGATAGTGAATATTGGAATACCATTTTATTGTGTGGTGCATGGATGTGTGTGTAACCAAGTTTCTTTAAAATTAAATAGTTATTATGCTAATTTTACAAAGTTTAAATGAGAATATTGTTATTCATATCCTCCACCAGTTACTATCCAGTGTGCAGGAATTTTGTATGCTATTAAGTTAGTAGTGTATTGAAATGTATACATCTTTATATGTATTTTGATGTATAATATGTTTTTCGTATAAATTGCAGTAAAAGTATTTATACCTGATGCCAATGCTGATATGTACATCATCAGTATAAACTGTTATGTGGAGTATTATTATATCCTGTTAGGTACACCAATAACTTCACTGTAATTATTTGTAAACCTTGGTTTTCCTTCAGATTTCTTACTGCAGAAACAAATTACTGCAAATGTTTTTCTTGGTTTAAAACCTTTTAATACACAAAATGAATATACAATACAGATATATATATATATATATATATATATAAACACATGATGGCCAGTAATAAAATATTAATACAAACAAATGTATAACAAATTGCATAAACTCATATTTATGAAGAAATATGAAAAAGTAAAACAAAAAATACTGAAATAGTATAATGTATAGAAGAACCTAAATGATGCATTTTCTGATAGTAATTTATACATTAGAACACATGTATTTTGACCATTTCTGTGATCATAGTTTTCCTCTTTTTTTTTCTCTGTTGATACTATATTCCCATTTGTTTCAAACCTTACTCTGGCTATCTTTTTTTTTAAGTATCTGAGTGTCTAGAAGATTCGCAAAAATGCTAGCGTTTGCTAGACATGCACTCTTATAGTATATGAGACCGGCGAGAAGTGACGGCATGGAGATAGAGAGATATAGATAATTGAATAGCAGACAGGGAGATAGAGACAGATAATCGAGTCAAGCCATAAGTAAAGTGCGTGAATCGTTCGTTGTGAATTATAGCGTGTGTTTAAGTTAATGTGGAAATTAGGTGTATTGCAAAGTAGAATTGAGGAAGAATAAACTAGTTTATTTAAGAAAAGACTTGTATCGCTGAAGTTTCTCGAAAAGAATATATACGGGAAATTAACAAATGAACACAGACGTAACAATATATATTAAGTTGTATGATGGAGAATGGGTTGAATATATTAACTGAAAGGAACTGGAAAATAACAATTTAAGTGCTTTTTTTTAGTATTATAAATCTGAATACATGTTAATGCTGAATAGATTAAAGTTTATATATGATGCTCATAAATAAGGTGTAATAAAGGTCTATATCTAGAGGATGGCACATCCACTGTCACTAAATAATGCCTGTAGCATCATTTATTTAATATTTATACAAACCAAGTTTTAGATGACCAGTCATATGAAAATGAAAGAAGCATGTTCTCCATTAGCAGTTTGAAGAGATCAGGCTGATAGTAGAACATGCTAGAAGTCCAATAGACAATGAACATTTCCATGAGCAATAAGTCCACTAGAAGCTGGTCATACACGAGTCATGTCAGAGTTGCATCTAGTATTACAAAATGTTGTCAGCAGCATGTGGATTGGTTTTCAGACCACCGGTACAGAATAGACCATTGCAGTCCCCCATCAGACCTGTATTTCCCTATAATCCCAATATTTTAAAGCTATATCCCTATATTTTGGCCTAAAATACACCTATTCCCTGTAAATCCATATAATTAATATCTCCCTATATTATCTCCAAATATTTTTAGTGATAAATGAGACTGTTGTTCATATAATTATTAATATGGCAATACTTTTTATGACACTAAATTCCAAAGTTTTACACTATAAGTAATTATTATCCTTTAGTACAAAATATATATTTTTTCAAGGCTTGTTAACTTTGTTAGAATATTAAGCAGTTTTAAGATTACATTCCAGACCCAAAGGCATAAAATCTGAAGGTGCAGGAGAACATGAATAAAGCATATCTTAGTTTGTCATAAGATAACAGTTCAGTTGAGGGCCTAATGAAAGGGTAAACCTATGTTGTCTCAGTGAAGAAAACTGAGTAGGTGTGTGAAAAAGAGATTTTTCATTGGTTAAATTTGTGGTTTGTATTTTGAAATATATTGGTCAAAAAATCTTAATTTCAAGTCTGAAAATGATTAAGAATGTCACTTGAAAACCTTGATTATGAATTAGTAACAATTTCAGTTTGAAATTATACATATATAAACATTAGTCAAAACATTGACTATTGATTAAACTGACATTACTTCAAGCTAAATTTGCACAACCTCAAAAATGATAAAAGTCTTAAATATTTTGTTTTATATTTTAACTGTTCTTTACACTTTTTGCACTTTCTTAAAATGATATATTTCATTACTACTTTCTATTGTTTGTTATGAGTAAGAATAGGCTATATCTATTAAAGTTTATCCAGTGTGCCTGAAATTAAACTAGATAACCTTTCTTAAGGGCTGGAGGCATCTTTTCAATTGGGACAAGTTTAGTCATTGTATATGTAAGTTAGATATGCGGGCAGGTATGTTTCACTAATCATGTATATCTTTAGGTATTTGAAATTTTTCAACATTGAATTATCCTGCTGTACCACATGTACATTTCAAGACTCTTGGTTGAATAAGAAATACATTAATTGGTGTGTGGTGTCAAAAACAGAACAGCTATGAGGTCTTTTGCATACTTTGTTACAAATTATTTTTAGTTGAAACTGGGCTCTCTTAGTTAAAATAACACTGCTGAGGGTTGCCACATATAGAAAAGGCGAAGACTTGTTTTGACAAGTTTCAACCTACCCCAGGCAACAGTGTAAACAACAATAAATAGGAACACCACAACTAGAATTATACATCATCTAAATCTGCTCCCTTAGCCTTTACATCCTAGATCTGTGACTCTCAAGCCAACTTATTCATCTACAGGTAAACCTAGCAGAAGAAGTCAGTGAAGCAGAAGCACTATGGGTAATTAATGTTGCAATCAAGGAATTTTAATTTGCTTCATTTGATGATGCTTGTCAGCTTTTCTCTAGGATGTTCAACAACAATGAAAAATAATTCAGGAAACATGATTGTGTATGATGAAACCTCCACTGATCAAGATGCAAAACAACTGGATATGCTGATTAGATAATGTCCAATAACGAAACCAATTACCAGGAAACATTTTTGATCTTCCCTTACGATCATGTCAAAGAAACCATGTATTTGAAACATTTGTGCACTTCCCAAAGGATGAAATATACATCCCACTGAAGCTTGTTGCAAGCATTTAAGGAGATGATCCAAATGTCACCAAAACCATTGAAAGGAGATCTACAATGCACCAAAGGAAGATTGCTGTGAAAGTTTTCTCCCTTCCATAATCTGAAATCTTCATGTTATGCACTATGCATTCAGATCTAGCCCAGAACATGATGTAAAAACCATGCCTGCAATCTCCATAGCTTTTTTAAAAAGATGCATTATCCAAATGTATGCCTGTTTATCATCATTCTGACAACACTTCTACTGTGCCCATGAGAATAGAAATGAGAGTTGTCACATGAAAAAATAATTAAGTTATCCATATTCAAGTATTATTAATTAGAATAATTTCTTTATATAGGAAAGTTTTTCTCATTTTGTTGTCTTTTTCAAAGTAATGTGCCCTTTATCTGATCAATTTTTTTAGATGCAGTATATTAACTTCATATTTTTGACTAGATTCCCCTATATTTATTCATATTTTTTGCCTAAAATTTGGCGTGAGTCCTGACATTGTCAACAGTGTGAAAAATGATCACAATTTGATAATATGGTCTTGATGCAGCTAGTGATCCTCAATTTCCCAACTAAATCAGTGGTTCAGAGCAGTAACTGGATAAGAAGCTAGTACATAAATGATCAGAAATGAGCTTCAGCAGGTTGTCTTTTATGCCGGGTGACCAATAATGTGCGTTCTTCTAACCTATTACCATAAAAGACAGTCTTTAGTGGTGTTAAGATCATGTGGATTGGTCAAGCAACATATTTTTGTGTGTTTTGTTCATAAATCAATAAAGTTTCACACTGCAGACAGAACATTTGGAAAGTGACTAGGACCAGATCTAACCCAGTATCACAAAAGAAAGATGCACATAGTGGTATTGGTCAGATTAATATTGATAATCATACTGTGAATATCATACAATATAAAGATGCATACTTACAACATCAGTATTGTCACATTCACAAACAATTCGTCAGAACTTTCTCCTATCCTGTGGTAAAACACACACACACATATCCTGTGTTCTACTGGTTAGCAACTTTCTGCAAGAAGAGGGTATTGAGTGACTGAACTAATCAGTTTGATCACTGCATTTTGATTTTATTGAACATGTATGGATGCTCTGGAAGAGGCTTGATATCACAAGATTCACTTCCAAGCAGCTGTGATTAATTATTAGGTTATATTACTCTAGCAACTTAATTTGTTTGTTGTAAGCATCCATTATCATATTTGAGGTGATCATACTCTCTTATCATTTATTGGACTGCAATAAGCATTTGTGAGTGTGGAATTCAGTAATAAACATTAGTATATCAGATCACATGACTGGTCACCTGGTATTTGTTTTGCATAAGTGTGAATTAAAGTTACATTAAAAGTAGTTAATAAGAGTATTTATACCTTGTTATCTCCATTGTTTTAGGTTGTGTATAAAAAAATCTATTTAATTGAATTTTTATTTATGTGTAAAAAAACAGTTTTCATTGTCAAATAATAACTAGATACATAACTCTAAAATGCCCAGGTGTGTCGATACCATGTACCTGTTGTACAGTTTGTTTTACTGCATTGTGAAATAAGAAACCAGTGGATGTAACAATTTTAAACTTGAGATGATCTTTCAACAGATTAAGTTTCTAAAAAATGAAATGTCTTATTTTTATATGTGATATTTGTATGAACTCAGCTCTAGAAATATTCCATTGGGATATGTTTTTTTAAGAAATGCTTACCTTTGTTGTAGATGGAGCTGAGCAATTAATGGAATTTGGTAATTGATTGATCATTTGTCTCATTAATTGATTACATTCAATTGATTATTCTCGCATGAGACCTGCATAGTTGTAATAATCAAAAATATTAACACCTGCCACTCAAGCCATCCTGGCATCTTGATGTAGATCCAAAAACATAAGTCATTCCAGAAAGGTTTGGATTATTTTAATTAGACAAAAAAAAGGCATTTGGCACTATTTTTGAGTTCTGGGTCACTGGACTAGGCCCTTGACCTGACCTGAGACCATGAGAGCCAATATGGAGAAGTTAAATTGCAAATGTAAAGTAAAACAATGTAGCAATGAAATGTTCTGTATGTGGTGGGGAATTTGATGGTTTAAGTGTAGCGATTAAACTAAACTGTGGGTTCAGGTTGGATGATGGAAGAACTTACTAGAAGATATCCCAATTAATTTGACATACCAGCTGAATCGGAGATTTGGCAATTTATTTGTGTATTGATAGCAAGACATAAAACAAGGGGCACAGTAGTATCGTTATCTTCAAAAAGGAGAATTGGAATCATGTTTATGAAATCATTAGTTTCAGTATTTTGTGAAACTAATGGCAGAGTAAAGCCCAAAGATGCAATGTTGAAGTTGAAGCAGATGCATTACAAGATGATTTCCCTTGTGATTCTCAAATTAAAAATGCCATTTCTATAATGAAGAGTAAATATAAGAAGAATGGTACCACCATAGTATAATTCATATAGATTTAATCATGTCATATTTTCATTAATATTTAGATTTTTTTTTCAGAAGTTGTGCCGAGATTTGTTCCTCACGATCCATCAAAATAACCTTAAATCACCAGTTTCTGGAATGACCCCCCTCTTGACCATTCTAGGCTCAGTACTAACAGATGCTGGGCTGGTTCGTGTGGGAGGTGTTAACACTAATTTTGATAGTTGGTTATTTTCATGAATCAGGACATTAATCTATTAAAGTGAACAATTAATTATTTTACTTGTTGTTATTGATTATATCGATTAATTGAGTTAATCACCCAGTTCTAGTTGTGGATTTTAATTGTTGGTTTCTACATCTTCCTACATTCTTGTAAAACTTTCCTATAAAGTTTTTATAGCATAAAACTGTAAATTTTATCTTTTTTTTTATTATTCAAAAATACTCTACTACTGTTTATAATGATTGGTGTACAATTAATTTTTTACTATACCGAATTATCTAACTAAACCTACCTCATTGTGTTTTACAAAAAAATATTTACTTCCATCTTACTGAAACATCATACTCCAAAGGAAGTATAAAATGATAAAACAAGCATTAATGGAATCAGGCGTGTTGTTGTGGTTTTTTATGCCAATAAAGTTTAATGTGAATACCAGTAGCTTTGTTGGCAAAATGAAGCTTTATATAATTGAGTACAAAATGACCTAATTAAACCAACCTCATCTTGTTCCAGAAATAGCATTTATTTTTATTATCATATTGCAACATCGTCATTAAAATTAAGTTTAGAATAACAAAACGTGGTTTTTCAAGCTTTACAAATTATCAGCAGTGTTGTTGTGGCAGAAGTTGTTAACAAACGTTTTTTCTTCTAACAATATATTATCAAGCTAAACTTTTACCATTTCTAATCTCTACATGAGATTCAGTTGAACTGGAACCCATGTTGGTTTTATGTAATTGAAATGAACAGGAAATGAGTTTTCTATACATGTTTAGATCACTAGCCTATAGCCTTTTCAAAGGTTCAACTTTGTGTTATTTTGTTCAAAACTGTTTTGACTTTCCTCCTAAGGGCTGCAAGTGCAATATTATGCTGAGAAAATATTCTGAACATTCATTTAGAGCATGCTAAAATGAATTAAAAATCACAATTGTTTTGTTTTTCAAATAAAGTTATTGAATAAATCTTAACTCTGAAAAAGTTGTTTTAATGTGTGGAAAAACAACTGCAAATTTGTTGTACACTTTTTTCTTATTCAGTGTTGCAGCCTGCATCCATCCAGGCACAATAGAGTTAACTGTTGAACTAATGCTTTTCATCTTTCAATTTTTAGTAGAAGTCACATTTTTGTAAAAGTTTTGTTAAGCTATATGGTTTCTTTTTTTTTATGTAGATAGAGTTTGATGCTGTGTTCTCCCTCAATCCTGGGATTTTTGAAGTGCCTCGCAATGTTAATCGAAAGGTAGGAGAAAATCCTTGAAAAATGCCAATTTAATCAAGAATTCTGGAAAACTAAAGTGTGTCATCAAAAATATTTTATTTAGAAATTTTAGAATATGAACAAATAATGTTTATGTTTTAGTTAGGTTAAAGTATCCAAAGTCCTGTCTATCATTATCAACTTATTAATTCATCACAACATTGAGATAACTGATAAGGCACTTCTAGGTATTTCATCAACCCTAAACCATGTGTTTCTGTTACTGATGTGAGTATCGTGATGAGGGCTGACCAATTATTTGATAATAGATTTTTAAATATAGAACTAATTTTTCCAACATATTTTCTCTTTGGGGAAGATTATGATGGAAGGTTTGTGTATGTTAGTCTGTTATTAATTTCACTGATGTGCATGACTTTTATTTATCTTCCTCACCTTGATGTTGTTATAACCTAAAACATAGCCTCTAGAATGACCTAACTTCTTTTTGTCAATCAAAAACTGTAGTGTATCCTGGAAATTTTGCTTTTCAAGAAGCAATAGGCACAGATAATTGGCTGTAGAAAAGCAGCCTTGCATTATTTTTATCAGTCAAACTGCCATTATCAGTTTGTGGATTAGTAAAACACAATTTCTTGAATGTTGAGGGTTATTTAAGTCCATTAAAATAATCATGAGTGACATTGGAAGCTCATTTATTTTTTCATTTGTACAATGTTAAATATGGGGGTGTTCAAGACTGTGGTACATTTGAGATTAAACTCAATAATAGCTAATTTATCATGTGTAAGTGTGATTAAAGTATTGATATGAATATAATCAACACTATTAAGAAAAGAGAGCTGTGGCATTCCAGTACTAATCAGTCTACCATATTAGTACTAATAAAAACCATTGTGAACCAACATTTGATCACAACATACCAACAAAAAGTCTCCGTCTCTCTGAAGTGTTGGCAATTTCATGAACCTTCAGGCATTTATTGTCCATATTGACCACTAAATATTTTCAAATATTCAATACAGTACACTAAAATGTAATATAACCTTATAATTATGAAAATCAATTTAAATTTTCCTAAATAGTGGTTAGAGCTGACTTCTTGACTCGTTTAATCAAAGTTAGTGTTTCTGATTATTATTGTTTCAATTATTATAACTATCCAGGTAATCAAAATATTGCCATTAGGATTTCTCATTAAATAATTCAAGGTTGTTTAGCTTGATTAGTGTCATAAATCACAAAAATCTAATAAAAAAAAGCTAAAATTACTGTTTGTATTTTTTAAAATTTTTTATTTTGATTTTTTTCAGCTATTCAAGTCATGTGAAAATAACTGATTAATGAGTCTGACTATCAATTATCAAGTTTTACTAATCACTCAGCTCTAATATTAATTATTCTATAGATAAGAATAAAAATAATTCTTAAACATGGAGCACATTAAAGTTATTAGAATAATAATGGGTAACAGTGGAAACATTGTTAACTGAACGTGTAGAGGTTGGTCCATTGGACCAACCCATATTAGAGAAGTAATGTTAACTGTAATTCCCAATTTATGAAGTATATCTTCAGGAAATGTGGAAATCCTTAAGTCAACATTACAAGTCTGTTGTATACAAAAAATCTGATGTGTTACTAAAAGTTTTATGTTGAAAATATGTTTGCGAGATGCTGAAGTTAAGATGACTCAGACTTTGGCAAGTTGTAGTGCAAGGTGACCTGAAGAATAAAAACGCTTTTGTCCATTATACAGTTTGCAAGTTGCATTTGCAGAACTTTTAGAATGTCCTAAATGCATATGAAGTTTTGCTCAATATCCTTTTATATTGTATTTGGTATTTTCTCTACTCTAACATGAACTGAACTGTTGCAAAATATGCAGTGTTGGGTAACATGAAAAGTTGAAAATTCTGAAATCAAATTCATAATATGTTAAATGGCACTCTGTATATGGTCCAGGCATGCACACTTTGACCACCAATCGTGCACATAGGGTTAATTTTTAACATGTACAATGTTTAGCATACTGATTTTAATGCAATGTTATTTTTAACATCACATTCAACTAATCTATTAATCTCACATTACTACATTAACAGCATGTAGTATTTCTGACCAAAATTAAAAATAATTACTGTTACTTTTTGAAATTTGTTTAATAAAAATATTGCTTCTGATTTCAACAGAAGTTTATTGGAAATCTCATTTTAGAATGAATAACAGCTGGGTGACCCACTTGGCTTAATGATGCAAGAGAAAAATTCTAATTGACTAATTGTCAGGCCCTGATATGGCCTAATGGCTATGCTTTTGAGTCACAATCTTCTTGCCTTTTCTGCCATGGGAGTGTTATAATGTGATAATCAATCCCGCTATTCATTGGTAATGAATAGCCCAAGGTGTTGACTAGATGTCTTCCCTGTAACCCAGACCTCAACAAATATTTTTAGATCTTGGAGTCAGGTCTGATACAGAAAGGAGTCAGTTGTATGGTTATGGTACAAGATATACAGTTTTACATTAAAAAACAAAGGGTTCATTATTAAACTTTATTATGTAACATATATTTAAAGTTAATTTCCAGTATGTGCAATTATTTAAATGTGGTATGTAGGCCTCCTTTGGCCAGGTTTGACCATGGATGAGCATCCGTCCATTGTTAGCTCATGTTGATCGCTCGTCTAGAGCAGCGTCTCTTGTGACTAAGGAGACCGACACGAGAGTGACAGTCCCGGTTGCAGAGGTCATATATGTGCATTGACGCTGGTCTGTTGGCTACCTGTTCCTTTTGATGCGCTCGCTTCTCTTCTGCTACCATCGTCAATTCCTCTTCACCGATCTTCAGCTGTTTACGGAGAGCGTTTCTCCAGTCGGCACGATCGGCAGCGATGTCTCCCAAGTTTCGGTGTTGATGTTGAGCACCTTCATTATTTAAATAGTAGACTAAATAACTATAACTTAGGTGGATTCTTGCAAAGAATGAAAGTAAACAGAAAATAATCACTGCAATATTAATAGGCCAAGCAAGTTGTTTCAGAATAGGTGAAATCTTTTTCATAAATTTCATAAAATTGTAAAGGAACAGAAAGGAGTTTATTAACCCATCAAAGATGTCCTTTCCAGCTCCCAACTATAACCTTCCCTTACTACTCATGTATTCATCCAATCTTTTCTTGAACTCAGTTAAATTTTCTGTCTCCACCACCCTTGAAGGCAGCTCATTCCAAAAGCCAACCACCCTGTATGAAAAGTAATGCTGTCTGAACTGCAGATGATTCCTATGCTGCCAGAATTTGGATTTATGACTCCTTGTCCTACAGTTTTCACTGCTAAATATCAAAAAGTTTGATGGATCTATATTATCAATATCCGCAATAATCTTAAACACCTCAAACAAATCTCCTCTGACCCTTCCTCTCTCTAGAGAAAACAAGTTTAGATATTTTAGTCTCTCCTCATAGGATGATTCCACCATCCCAGGTATCATCCTAATGGTTCTTCTCTGAACCTTCTCCAACAACTCAATGTCCTTTTTGAGGAAGGGAGCCCAAAACTGTACACAGTTCTCTAAATGAGGCCTTACAAGTGATCTATACAGTGAAACTATAATATCCTTTGTACTGTATTTAATATTTCTATAGATGCTACCCAAAATCCTATTAGCCCTGTTGCTAGCTACAATACACTGTTCAGATGACTTTGTGATTTTTCGATCACAACACCAAGACCTTTTTCTTCAACCACAGTATTTAATATATTCCCATTTAAATTGTACCAATAATTTGAATTGTGAAAACCTACATGCAACACCTTACATCTTGGATAGTTAAATGTCATCTGCCATGTATTGGCCCAATGTATCAAATGATCTAAATCTCCCTGTAATCCTGCAGCATCTTTGATATAGTTAGCCACCCCTAAAATCTTAATGTCATCTACAAACTTCAAATATTTTGTTAGTCATTCACACTCAATGTCATTAATATATATCACAAACAGTAGAGGCTCCAGCACAGAGCACTACTTTTAATTGTGATTCAGTCAGATCTTACTCCTTTTATTACTACTCTCTGCTTTCTACTCTCCAGCCAATTTTCTATCCAATTTAATATCATATCTATTAATATCTATCATTTCCCCCATACCCACAGATTTAGTTTTCTTAACAAGTCTTTTGTGAGGTACCTTATCAAATGCTTTGTGAAAATCGAGGTAAACCAAATTCACAGTATTTCCTTCATCAATTCTTGCAGTAATATTCTAAAAGAATGTCAAACTGCTTTAAGTGACTGAAATACATGTTTAATCACATTCTCCAAAACCTCTCCAACTACTGATGTAAGACTAACTGGCTTATAATTGCCTGGACAATGTTTATCATCTCCTTTAAATATTGGATTAAGATTAGCCAACTTTCAATCTTCTAATACTCTTCCAGTAATTTATGACCAATAAAAAAATATTAACTAGTGGTACACAAATAAAATCTAAGTTCCTTTAAAACTCTAGGATATAATTTGTCTGGTCCAGAGGATTTATCTATTTTTAGGTTTCCCAACTTTTCTCTTTCAATTTCAGGACTCATAATTATCACTTTTTACATCAGTATTTTCCCCATATGTTAAGTTCTCTGGTTGAGGCATAATACTTGTACCTTCCTTCATAAAAACTGAAGAGAACATATAATTTAATAAGTTTACCATCTCGTAATCTTCCGAGATTATGTCCCCATCCTAACATTTTGCTTACCCATCATATACCTAATGAATTCCTTATTGTTTGATTTAACCCTCTCAGCCAACCCTCTTTCATATATCTACTTATCATTACAACGCTACAATAATAAGCAAAGGCCTTTTGGTGTGCCTAACCTAACTTCTCTACTCTTTGTGCCCGGAAATAGGGACTATATTTATTTACTTTTACAGCAACAAGTGTATGCTAACAATCACATAATATCAACAACCACTTGATAGTATTGCCTGAACTAACTGTCTAAACATGTGCACTCATTA